TTATCAGGACTAAAAGCTGTGTGAATGTGCCGTTAGTCTCCTACAGCGCAGCTTTTTCAAAATATCGCACTACCTCAAAATTGTGTAAGGAACAAGATCTGCCTAGGTGAGCCAGCTAGGAACATAAACACCTTTAAGTAGGTCCCTTCGAGGATTTTAGATTGCTTAATAAAATAACTTGAAAATTGAGTGGATTTTGGAGCCTAGGATGAATTGCAAAGATGTTGGACAGTTTGGGAAGCATAAAACGCGAACGAGAGTTTTGACAGAAATATCTTGAGTGGGAGAGGAATTGTGACGCTTTCAAAAAAAAAATACTCTGTGAAGAAAAAGAGGGAGTGTTCGAATTTGAAAAACTCTAGATTTGGTAGTTCTAATATTGGCTATATACTTTCAAGAACATCAGTTCGAATTTTCTTGCTGATTTAATTTCGGAAAGAGATAAAAATAGTCTCATTAGAGTTTTTGGGTGAAGGCTCTAAGACAATTTGGAGGGTTATCAATGTGACAGGGCCCCGGGTGGGATGCACATGACTGGGATTACTTTGTCGGATTTGGGACGGGCGCTTCATCACAAAAAATTACGTTACGTTTTTTTACGTGTGAAAGTTTGAATGGAGGACTCGGGCTAAGTCTGTCTCAATCGTGATCAGGCTAAATATTTCGAATAAGCAGATTTGGGGGCAATTTTTGAAGTGCCCCCAAATCTAGGTTACAACCGAAGACTGTGAGATCGCGAGAAGATATCGTACTTCAGGAACTTTGATTAAGAGGCTACTGGGTGCAAAGGAGTTGAGGGGCGGGGGAATCCTCGAAAGACTCTGACAGCAAAAGATTATACAACATTCGAGATCTGTATATTATCTGTAAATAAAGTATATGTAATCGTGTCTCTGCGAGCAAATGAAGTGGCTGCTGTTAGAAGAAGCTGGGAGGGGAGCTTTCACAATTCTGTTGCCATTTTTGATAAGAAAATTTTCGAAACTTTGGACAGCAGAAAAAATCCGTACTTTGATAACTTCTGGGATCGTTACGTATTTGAATCCGTGTCATACTCTTTGAGAGGAAAAGGTTCGCTACAAATCTTCAGGGGTTCTAACTTCCAGTCACATTCCCATTTCACACACACAGCCAGTCCAAAGCGCCGCGAAGCGGCGCTTTGGACTGGTATTCTTATATATAAAGCTGAATGTCTGTTTGGATGTATGTCTGTATGTCTGTACGTATGTCCGAATAGAAAATTCCATTTCTGAACCGATCCGGACCAAACTTGGCACACATACACTTCGGGCCCCGGCGGGTGTCATAGGCTACTTTTCGTCATCGATCGATATCGATTTTATCGATTTTTATCGATTTTTTTTGCTGAGTTCACCTACGGGGCTGGGAGTTGGCACAGGGGGGTAATCGAGCATGGGGATTCCGAATACAATATTGGTTTTCAGGATTATCGATTTTATCGATTTTTTGCAAAGTTTGAGCTACGGGGCTGGGAGTTGGCACAGGGGGGTAATCGAGCATGGGGATTCCGAATACAATATTGGTTTTCAGGATTATCGATTTTATCGATTTTTTGCAAAGTTTGAGCTACGGGGCTGGGAGTTGGCACAGGGGGGTAATCGAGCATGGGGATTCCGAATACAATATTGGTTTTCAGGATTATCGATTTTATCGATTTTTTGCAAAGTTTGAGCTACGGGGCTGGGAGTTCGCACAGGGGGGTAATCGAGCATGCTGATCATCCCCAAGGGGGGTGATCAGCATGCTTGATTACACCCCTGTGCCAAATTCCAGCCCCCTAGCTCAAATTTTCAAAAAATCGATAAAATCGATAAAAGTAATGGACGATCTTGAAAACTAATATTGTATTCGTAATCTGTATGCTCGATTACCCCCCTGTGCAAACTCCCAGCCCCGCAGGTCAAACTTTACAAAAAAATCGATAAAATCGATAAAAGTAATGGACGATCCTGAAAACTAATATTGTGTTCGTAATCAGCATGGTCGATTACCCCCCTGTGCAAAATCCCACCTCGCATGTCAAAATTTACAAAAAATCGATAAAATCAATAAAAGTAATCGATAATTCTGAAAACTAATATTGTATTCGGAATCCCCATGCTCACTTCCCCCCTGTGCCAACTCCTAGCCCTGTAGGTGAACTCTGCAAAAAATCGATAAAAATCGGTAAAATCGACATCGATCGATAACGAAAAGTGGACTGTGACTCCCGCCGGGGCCCGAAGTGTATGTGTGCCAAGTTTGGTACGGATACGGCGGAGCCGGGTAAGCCAGCTAGTATAATATGTGGGGGATTCAATGTTTCTTGCGGCTCGAACCCGGGGTGGAGCACCCTCTTCACTAATTCTCCACCCCGCCCATTTCAATGTATTGGCGGGAGGCCGCCAGTGGAGAATTAGTGAAGAGAGGTACTCCACCCCCGGGCATATGCCGTGGGAGGCGTGAATACCCCACATATTATATATCATTTGAAAGCTCTTGATGAGGAGAATCCAACCTATGAAGTCGCAACATGAATTATGCAATTCTGAAGAAGTTATGAGCTGAAAAACGGTTTTTTACCTGCTTTTTTAAAAGCCTGAATCTCGGCGATGTTTCAGTGGATCGGTACAGCTAACAATAAGACATATTCTGATAGGGCAAACCTCACCCTACAAAACCTATGAAGTCGCAACATCACACACCTTCAAAGTCCGGATTTGTAAGAGTTTAAATGTCAGTTGTCGTTAAGCAACCTAAAATTGAGAAGATTTTTAAAGTTTTTCAAAATTCTCGTTCTCGGAGGCTACTCCTCAAATCAAACTGATTCTTTTACTATCTGGTAGAACAACACTTACCCATCAAAACTATGAAGTCGCAACTGCGGAGGTCATCAGCCAGCAGATTTGTAACAGTGGAATGATTTTTCACGATTTTTCAATATTTTATGATTCGAAATTCTGGTTCTCGGCGGTTACTGCCTGGGTCGACCTACTACATAGATATATGCTCTTAATACTTTCCTTTACATTCCTTTTGCTTATTTTCCTTCTTTTGAGCTTTAGCAAAAAAATTTTCGAACCCAAAGTGAAGGTGGTCACCCTGTACCAGCTCAAAAGTGAAGGTAGGCGGAAAATCGGCTCCGACTATCGCACCTCTGACCGGGAATTTTGCGGAGGTGGAAAACTGCATGACGTGCGCGTCAAAGCGGCCGCCGCCCAGCGTAGCTCCTGAGGCGGCTTCAGATCGCGTTCGAACCCAGCTGCACCCGCCGCAACCTTCCTGGTATTTATCCATTTCGCGCTCGCTATTCGGGTGCGTTGCACCGTTGTACATGGCCCGAACAGGCGAAAGCATAGGACCGTAATTTACGAAAGGTTCGTTAGCATGGTCCAAACGGGCAGAAAAGCCCGATTTGTCGAGATCGGGCCTGCCGTGAACGACATGGCCAAACTTGCGAGATCGGATTTGAGCTCATGCAGTGTACTATGTGAGATACACACAGTTTGGTAGTGATGGAAAATTTTGATAATTACATTGATCCAATCCAGCCTTCTATTTCATACAGTTTGATACGTATTGTTTTCAATGAGCCAAGAAATAAGACTTTTTGATTACCTTGCACATTTCTGCAATATCAACTTATCCCTATGCTATGAATAATCTTACAATACATTATAAGAGGCTCTGATGTTTAGCACAAAGTGGCTGTTTCCGGCACTTTTTGAAAAAAAATGCCTCTAACTTCACGATCTGGCTTTACTTTTACGTGATCATAAAAGGTGCAAACAAATACAGAAACTGTGCTCCGGGCCCAAAAGGAAAGAAAAAACAAAAAAAGCGATCGGTATCCATGTGTTTGAGATACGCAAAGCACGCCAGCAGGCGCTTTTGATATGCGCCCGCTCGCGCTGCTGGCGTGCTGCTCTCCAAGTAGATCCCCGAAAAGGCATGAAGCGATACAGGAGAATCATAGAAACCGCCCTCGGTACCGTCTGAATCCGCTCGAAGCCAGAATAAATTTATAAGCCAAGAGATATGCTTGGAAACTGCCATCTCGGAGTAGACGCCTGAGATAGCCCGCGTTGTGTGTGAACATAAGCAATTTGACTGTATTTCACTTGCATATATTCGCGGGATCCGGCGGGTGCATTCAGAAGGAGTTAGTGCGAACTGCCGCGAGCCATTAAAGGTGTCCGGGCAAAAAGTGATTTTGAGATTCTGTGCTTGCCCGGGTATACTCGCCATGCTGATTCCGAAAATCCACATTACAGAGCGCGAAAACGACGAAGAAGCTCTAACGCAGTAGGCAATCAACAGGTGGGCGGGGTCTTCCCCACTGTGAATTCACGCTTCCAGCTTCCGGAGGAAACTTCTCGATCCTGCTAGCAGCCCTGACATCGCCGCCGGCAAAGTGCGAACGATTGACTCGAAAATGAAACCGAGAAGATCGCTCAGGAAGCTAGGAGCGTGAAATCACATTGGGGAAGACCCCGCCCACCCGCTGACTACCCTTTTGCGTTAGTCCCCGTTTTCGTGCTCTCTAGTGTAGATTTTCGGATTCAGCATAGCGAATAGGTCCAGATAAGCACAAAATCTCAACCAACTTTTTGCACGGACACTGCTTTTAAAGTGAAGTTTTCTAGATGCAGAAGAGGTCGCATCGAATGGGCCTCATTTTTAGAAACTGTTTTATAAGGGGTAACACGAAACAAAAAACCAATCCAACCCGAATATGATGAGAAAGAATTGTTTTGAACCATTCAGAGGTAAGGAAATAATCAGAACAAAGTTGTTTACAATGCGAGAATGAACGCAAGGACGGTCATCAATGCGGTATTCAGGAGAACGAAGAGTGGGAAGAGTGAACGTGAAAGAAGCTGATATTTCTCCCAAAAACATTCTGTTAATGATTTACAATGACTATCATATTGGTACTTTCCGAAATGACTTGGTAGAAAGAAGAAAAGTTTAACTCAAAAGTGCAAATAGAAACGTACATCCGGCGGATGCATCAGCAGAAAATGCCAAGGTGAAGAGTCTGCTGGCTGCCATATCCACCAAAAGTTGCTCTCGTTCGTCTCTGAATCGAAAATTCAAGACTCGCAAAGTTACGAGCACACGAAACTAACGACAACATTAATCAAAAAGAGGTGAAGAAAAGAAATGCAAACAGACTTATGTCAAGACGAACCAGCACTGATATTGGACAGACTGAAAATACTACACAATGCATTTTGGTTCATGTTCAGCTGGAACATATCATTTTTCAAAACTCTCTGAGTGAGCTGCAGAGAGATTTGATATTTTCAACGTCATAGATGTTAATGTGGCCAAAAAGTAACAGAGCAACCTCTTTCTTGTAATTCATGTTTACAAAAGCTTCAGTCACCAACATACTCGCCGTTGTGATACCGATGATCATCGGAGCTGGGTGTGCTTACGCAGCGATATCTACCGGAACTGCGGACACCGCTTCCAAAGATTGACTTCGCCAACTTACGTCGAGAAAAAACTTGAGAATCTTCCTTGTACAGAGCTAATTTATTTGCAGGGATTAGAAGTAAATAAACGGCGCCGGCTTGGGGAAATGTGTACGTAATGAGGCACGACTTCCTGGCGCCGTTCTTCGCGGCGAGCGGCAGAAGACGTGCGTCGAGAAGACCAATCTAACCTAATCACTTTGTGTTTTCGGCACGGCAATAGCAAGCGCGACAAGATGGCTTGCAACTATTATTATTCGCCGTGATACAGTAGCTTCGAATACGCCTTATGCTATCAGCAGCAGCATAGAGCAGCATTTAGTCAACGACGCGGAAATCTACCTCAAATGCTGATGCCTAACCATCGGTTCATCATCCATGAGAAGGATATGTAGCCTTCAGGATCCATCTCTACAACGAAAATTTCTTTGCTCTTAAATAAAGACCAATTGCTGCCATTCGCAAGTTTCTAAATTCCAAAGTGGCATGAGCGTAACTTGCTAAATCCGTTACTGCTGCTGATATCGGAGTGTCTTGTCATTTTCCAAAGCTGCTATATTCCGCCTTCCTTATCCAAAAAATGAACTCTCGCCGCTCTCGGTATGCTATGAAGCTTTGAACGTGAGATATTGCTCGAAATGACCGTTCGCCCATTTTAGTCACCAAAATCTACCACAAGTGCCGCAAGCGTCCATAAGTCATTGCACTAAGCTGCTAATAAGCACTCAGTCCAAAGTGCTCCATTACTTTTTGACCACTGCTCAAACTTCAATGCTCAGATGCAGACGAGTGAACAAGATCTGAACTCCGTTCCGGCCATGCAAAAACAAACAAACCTCTCTAAGCCTATCTTCTCAAAAAATTGTCATTTTTTGCATAACTACAAGCCGCTTGCCAAGACCGCGCACTTAAGCCTTCGCTCCTCTTTTGTATGGAGAGAGAGAGAAAAAAAAGAGAGAAAGAGAGAGAGAGAAAAGAAGAAAGAGATGAGAGGAGCGAGGAAATAAAGAGAGGAAGCCCGCAGGATAACTGATTCCGCGGTAGATCTAATTTGCAGATCCAATTTCCTCTTCTGTTGAATCGTAAAAAAGCGGAAAACGTCAAAAATACAGAAAAATATGCAATCAATTTCTTACCTAATCTCTTTACGAAGATTCAGAGGTGGTGCCGTTTTGTAGGTGGTTTGTGTCTCATTAACAGTATCTTTATCAGCGGGCTGAATTTTTTGATCTTCTTTGTTGCTGCGGCTATCCGTCTTCTTCCGAAGCTTCGCACAAAGCTCAGCAATCCGAGTACATTCCTCCTCTACTGGTATATTATCGGTTATGAAGGAGCTGAAGGAAGGAAAATCTGAGGACGAGTAGCCGGGAAGTACTGGAACAGGGGAACTCCAAGACCAGTCCTTATCAATCGGCCCAACACCTCGTCTTCCTGAAATACAAAGTGGTGGATCCGAGAGGATATATATACTTTGGTTTGGTGAGGCCCACATATATGAAGTCTTGCGTTAACAGATTGCAGCCATGCAGCTTTTGCAACGATTGCAGTATGAAACAATCTTGCTGAACAAGTTGAGAAATGGAAAACAGATGTGAAACAACCGGAAAACCTCAAGGAATTCTTTGACGTACATTTTTCTTGTCATTTTTTCGATGCAGTTAGAGCAACAGAAAAAAATGGGACAGGAAGAGATAAGAATCCAATAGAATAACAATGAGAAGTGAAAATAGTACTTAGATTGCTCAAACTGTCCAGCTGTACAGTCCCTAGTACCAGCCACTTCACAACAAAATTCCCATGCAATTAGACATTTATATATAGTAGTTTACGTCTTTGCGTCCAGCACCGAAGGACGCAGCGAAAAATTCTTGAGATTGGCCAATACATTCCTACGAGTTCAGAAAAATGTTATCTGACAAACTGACAGATTTTTTGTTTTGAAATGTGAAAAAGATTCTTTTGAGTAATACTGATTTTGTATGATTTTTTGACTACTAATCGCTCTCAAGAAAAACCCGCTACAACAGCACCAGACCTTGGTACAAAAGGTAGCATACTGATGCAATGAGAGGGCTGAAGCACTCAAAAGCTTTCTTGAGCGTGCTACGTTAATAAAGGATCATAGGACATCAGATATTTTTCTTTCAAAAATATCAATGCTTTTTGAAATGAAACTATTTCAAGGGATGGATGAGCATGCTGATTCGGGAACAAGGAAAGTCTCAGAAATTATTTATTGCCTTGCAACGGCCATAAGTGCCGGGAATGCTTGCCGAAGTTGCTGAGGTTCCTAAATACATAAAACACAGAAACACTAAGGGGTCCAGCAACGACCGGCAACCTCGGCAAACATTACCGGCAACCTATGGCCGTTCCCTAAGCTGGTCAGCCACAACTTGCAAAAAAGGAGTTCTGCCGATTTTATGCAGGGTACGGAGAACTAATATATAGAAGTGAGACATGAGTAGAGGAATGTTGTTGGAGGTGCAGGGTATAAGCCAATTGGTTATTAGACAAAAATCTAATCTAATCTAATCTAATCTATCTAATCTATCTATCTAATCTATCTATATATAATATATAAAGAATATATATATAATATATAAAGAATCGTAAGCGCAATTCAAAAATGTGCAAATAGCGGGAAACCGCGTGGCGGTCCCAGCGCGAAGATGCAATCTAGCGCCTTTGATTACTGGTTCACTAGTATCGATAGATAATAGATGACGATCAGAGCCACAAGGTAACTAAAAATGATATATCAAAACATTACCTAATTCTGCGAGGAGAAGGCTGTATTCATAACGACCCGCATCGTTCTTGTCGTCTTTCAAAAGTGGAACCAGATTCAGTACCTATAATCAAAAATAACAGCAATCAACTGGAGAGACCTGGCAAAGAGTCATGCGATTTAGACACATGACTTTGGCTCCTACATTTCAGCGCAGTATTATGAAGACGAACTTGCTAAATAAGCCCTGTGACAAATGCAAAATACAGGGTACAACAAGGGTCGACAAGAATGCACACATTTTCTAAATTACTGAAGGTTTGGATGCAATATCGAGGGGAGGTGATGCCGTCGCTGACAGCCAATATGAGAAACTTTTGTTGCAGACTTATGGAAATTCTTATAACAGCATAGATGCGGGCGGAGCCAATAAAATCAGGTTAGACAACTGACAATACTACTGACAACTCTCCATCACTTTTGGCACCGAAACATTGGCAGACACTGCTTGCTCTAACTCTTCATAAGAAAGTAGCTTGCGCGCATTATAAATGAGAAAAAAAAACATGGCGAAAATTGTAAGTGGCTCACCCGCTGCCACTGTGACTGACTCAGGAATATCATCTGGTCCTCCTTGTTCAGCGAACGAAGAATCTTTAGGTCACGTTTGGCCATATGTTCGCATGAAATCGTGATCAGTCTTCGCTCAGCTTCATCCTAAATATATGCCTTGATATCGGACATCAAAACAATTTCAGAGCTGTTAAGTAGTAAGTTTGATCGCTTATATCAGCTTACGTCAAGGACTCACACAATACCACCACGATCTGTATGACTTGTTTCAGCAGAAATCATAACTCAAATCACACACTAATTTATAACAGTTAAACATGGTCTCAGATGGTGATCATAACCAGGATGAATGTGACCTCGATGAAACTGATAGAACCTCTCAAAACAGCTTCCATGACCAAATCGAGGCAAGTTCACTCTCGGTCTAAGTTCGCATGTAATTAGTAATCGAGACGTCCTACAGTGCTAACATTAGATGCCTGTATGCACCACAACAGCAGCACACATTACTCTGCTGCTCTGCTCAAGTATGCTCGGTGGAATAGCGTTTCAAACGCAAGAGCAGGCCAGACGTCCAGAAAAACTATTTTCACCATTTATCAAACACCACAGATTGCAGTGTCCAGAAATTTGAGAATTTGGGTTTCTTGCGCGGATTGCTCAAACGGGAACAGATGATTAATTCATTCACCCCTAAGAATCCACCTCGAAGGCACCATCCACCCAGATTGTCGATTACCGTTCTGGTCGTTCTGGAGCCTTCTCATGTCCCTGATTCCGAATATAAAGTCGAGAATCCGCGAAAACCCCGTTCCGGAGAGCCCGCAGGCCAGCCCTCCAGGACGGTGATTGGACAGGCGCGCATTGATGGGCGAGCATTACTGGAGGGGAGGAAGAGGGGAGGGGGGCGCGGTGCCGACTTGGGGTCCTCATGCTCTTCGCAGTTCCGAAGCAATTTTTCGCTTCCGAAGCGACATTTTGCGCCGCAACTTGGGCGTTGGCTTGATAAGGGGTTCTACAATCGTAAGCTGTCAAAAGCTCAAGACCCTCAACTTAGGGAGGACGGTGCCTTTAAGCCACTCCTCATCCTGTACATCGCATAAGATTTGCTTTGTCTTCAGTGGTTTTGTCACCAACATCGCGAGTGCTAGATACGGTCTAGGATCGGGAAAGGATAGCCAATAAATCTCTCCCCATTGAATATATCATTAACGCTGCCGCTTGAGCACTGCCTTAGCTAAAGTCCTTTCATCGATTTTCTCGCGAAATATCTGTACGCCCAGGTATGTCTCAACCTGCCTTCAACCGCTTCACTGTGCTTAGAACCCTCTGTCGTCTAGAACATATTCATAGCTTAGACTTATTTTATATAATTCTAAAACCAAACGATGAAATGCTGAGAAATAACATCTTCCCTTCATTGTAGCAAACTATCCCAAGAAATAACTTCTCCTGCTTAAAACTTCTGCTACCAATAACACCGCAACATCAAAGTGTTTGCATCAAAGGAAAACAAATATTGCACTGCCGGTTGAAAGACAAACCGAAAGTTGAAGATGCAAGAAATAGAAAACCTATTGGAACACATAAATGAAACAAAATGGCTAACCTGTTTGCTCTTCTTGGCTAGAGGAGGAACAAACACACTCGATTCGGCTTGCTCGAGCGGACGTTTCACTCCAGATTCGAGCATTATGCTCTTCAGCACTAACCTACTCTGAAACTACGGAAGCTCTCTTCTACACCAAAACATTTGATGAAAGTTCCGATAAACTAGTAAGCTAGTAGGTAGATAGAGTAGTTGAAAAGACTGAGGCGTGAGAAATACGAGGTGTGTTAGATGCCACCATACGCTCAAATACACGTCTGATTGAACGTGATGTCAGTTCCGTAGACAGATAACCTTGGATGGCTCCAAGCTGGTAATGTAATGTGGTTCTAGAGAAGGAGTAGAGTAGATATGCAGAAAGTCCTGTCAGTTTCACCAAGCTGACAGGAGTTACTTTCGAAATGCGCTCTGGCAGAAGCGAATCTTTTTAGTTGAACAACTGCTGCTTCAAACTGCGCATTGAAGGAAACAGTGCCGATAGAATCACCATGCGATAAAGGAACAGCTGAAAAAACGTAGAAAATGTCTAAAACTCTCATGAGGCCTTGTGTGACGACAACATATTGTCACAATTTGTTATTGGTATGCAGCTACAGTCTGTGTGAAATATTCCTCCAGAATGCGAGGACCCCTCTTCTTGGGGACCCGTCATACTTCGCCGAGAGAAGCTCAAAAGCGCTCAAAAAAGTCCAAAGTGCCCGAAAAAGCCCAAAAGCGCTTAAAAAAGCTCAAAAAAGCCCGAAAAAGCACAGAAGCGCCGGAAGGAGCCGGAACGCAGAAAAGTTTGGTAGGAATTCTGACATTATTTTAATGTACGGATGACAGAGAGCGAACCAAAAAGACTCGGTTGCGAGATCAACATACCTATATGCCTTGCGCCAAAATGTGCGCGCGGAAGGGGGCGTTCCGGCTTCTTCTGGCGCTTTTGGGCTTCTTTTTTGAGCGCTTTTGGGCTTTTCTCGGCGAAATATGACGCCCAGACGCCCCTTAAATGCCCAAACGTGCGTTTGCGCAAAGCTTCGCGGCTTTGGGAGTACGCAATTGAAACATCTATGGCTCTGGGCATACTTCAGGCGATTACAATTACCGATTAATTTGCCGGACGTCTACAAACCCAGAACTGATAGACTACAGATATACCGTGCGTAAAACTTCCTTAGACTGCTGAAATGCCCTATGTTCTGTACATTCAATGCGCTTATGATGAGTTGTGGAACTGGAGTATTGCGAAAGCGCGCCGCGTTTCAAAAGATATGCTCGGGGTATTACATACACTAGGCGAGGTTCGTTGAGGACGACATCCAATGACCATAGCGCTGCGAATTCGAAGGGAACATAGTGCATTTATGAAATCGTGACCATGGGGTGGTCGCACGCGTCGCGCGAACATCTGCGGCAGCGCATCTCTTTGATTTCCATCTTTGTATAAATATGATAGCATTTTGTATGAGTGCTTATGCTCCTGTGGCCGCAAGGACTGCAGTCAAATCCGTCGCCACGATTTTGGCGATACCTATAGTTTTGATGTGCAGTTCTAACTTCACCCTTCCAAGAATACTGTCCGTTTGCTCGCTGGATCAATGTGGTCTAGACCACTTATACAGGGTTGGGGGAAAGTCTTTGAACACGGTATTTTTGACGTAATGATGAAGCTAGGCAAGATGATCACATGAAATCAATAGGTGATGTTTACTTAACTGTCTGCTATTCAAAACTGGCATTACAATTCAAAGATTCTTCCTCTGACGCCAGCACAGCTCAAAAACGCTTGCGAACGCTGTCCGTGGTGGCACGAGGTCCTTCACGTCGATTTCTCCCAACGCCTTCTGAAGAGCAAGTCGCAGAGACTCCGCTGTCTTGCGTGGGTGAGCGCAGCTTTGGCCTAAAGAACTGACCAGACGCTATAGTCGACGGGATTCAGATTGGGCGAAAACGGAGGCCATTCCGCAAGAGTAATGAAGACTTTAAAGTTGCTTTGGAGCCATGCTTGAACATTTGCTGTGTGCGCAGCTGCGGTACCTGCTGGAAGCACCAATTTTTCTCCGCAAAACGGATATTGCTCTAGGGCATCAGTTGCTTCTTCAGAAGCTATCCAACTACGTAGCAGCTTCCACCTTGATTCCCTGAAGCGCTAAGAACAGTGGCATCTTGTCGCCGGAAGTGATCGCCACCCAAACCGCCGTCGGAAAAGCCGGATAAGGCTCTACTGTGGCGAATCAACCCCTGCTAATGGCTTCTCGGAGCGATTAGGATACGATTCTGGTGTTTTGGAGATTGAAAACCTGTTTTACGGTAAAAATTTTACCGTCAGAAAAAAGTGCCGTTCTGTTGCGTGCCTTGGAGAGACGTTCAAGCAGTCGATGGCATCTGCGCAGTCAATACAGCTTCGTGTCCTCCCAAAAAGCATGAAATTTTAGCATCCTGAAAAGCTTCATCGCAAGGACCTCTTTGACAATGCCGGAGACTGTCCTGCCAGATATGGACAGCTCTGAAGCCAGCTCAATCAAGCTTCGTCGAGGATTGCGACGAAGGCGTTGGCGAACGATTTTTAAAATTTCGTTACTGTTCGCAGTAGCCAAATTAGCACTCATACAACAGTCCTGGGTGCTTTTCATATCCTGGCAACACATATAATTAGCGTACAAAAATTTGTGGAAAAGCCGAGCTACAAGGACATCAAAAATTGTTCAAGGACTTTCCCCCAACCCTGTAGTAAGCGTAGCGCCGCGGAAACGGAAGGGCTTACTGCCTACAGACCACGATATTGTGATCCCTATGAAGCGTTGTGGTAAGGTGAATTGGGGCTCTCTAATAATAACTATAGACGCAACGTGACGGGTGAGGAGTTGGTATTAGGAGGCCTGTCGGATGGAGTAAGTGGCGCTTGTTGAGTACGGCACGATCTCCTCTTGCTCTCGGCGGAGTCGTATCTTGTTGTAGAATGCATATCACCATTGATGTGTGAAAATTGGCCTTATTCTCATAACACAATCTTCCTTATGCTGTATATCTTGTTCTCATAACGTAGCTACATTGTGTGCATTCCTTTGCACCAGAGTGGGGAGCAGAAAGGACGGAGGAGGGAGGGGGGGCCTATCCCTCTAGAATGGATAGCAAAATTTACAAAATTATAGGTCTTTTATAAAATTGTGGCGACCGATTCGACTGCATCTTTGCACCCATTCGACTTTTACAAAATCATATAACATTCAAACAGTTTAGCGCTTAGCTCAGGTACTTAAAGGCAGCGTCCAGGCAGATCTGGACCTATGGGGCTTTTACGTGGAAAGTACTTTTGGGGCCCTAACTAAGGCACTGCCCAAGCGGCAGCTCAGGTAGTGCTCTAATGGCCGAGATATTCACCTCGAAACTGGCCCCCGCGAACGTATTCGCATGGATTCATGGCAATTTTGCGCCAGGATCCACGCTTTGCGCCATGAATCCATGCGAAACACGGTCGCGGGGTCCAGTTTCGAGGGGAATATCTCAGCAATTAGAGCACTACCTGAGCTGCCGCTTGGGCAGTGCCTTAGTTAGGGCCCCAAAAGTACTTTCCACGTAAAAGCTGTCGAGACGCAGACCAATTAGATGGTCCGACAGTCTCCTCGCCGACTTGGGCGGTGCCACCAACTTCAGATGAGCTGGCACTCCCCGGGTGCTCGGTGGTCCCCTCCCCAATTATGTTCCCCCACATTTATATTTATGTTATAATGATAAAATAATCTAGTCAAGAACTGTTATGTTAAAGCAAAGGAAAGAAACTAAGGGTGGAGGGATCAAGTTAAGAGAATAGCTAACTCTTCAAACTTGACATGGAGGTCCCGGGTTTTTCTGAACTTTTGTCGCATAACTTTTTCACAAAAAAAATCTAAGCATAGATTAGGCCAATCTCTGCTGAATACTCTCACCACCGGCACCAGCCCTCATCTCCTACGTGAATTACGTAGCCCTTTTTATATTTACCCTTCCTTTTCTCTTCTCCCTTGAGTCCAGGCAATGGGTCTGAGTGTGTTTTTTTTCTTATTTTGTCATATTTTTTTGTGTCATAGTGGGTAATGAATATAATCATGTATTCTTTACCTACTGTGTGTTTGACAGTCTTTTTTGTTTCATAGCAGATAATCAATATATTACTATATTGAATATGGTAGATAGTATTTTTTATCTGTTGTGATTCCTTACAGTTTTTACCGTGATACCACGTGAAGAACCGTAAATATTTACTCTTTCTTCCTCTAGCCCCCTTTCCCCACCCTATTTAATTAGAAACAAATCTAAAACTTTTCATTTTTGCAAAACATATTTTATTTTGTAACTTTCACATTTTCTCTTTCATAATCTATTATCTTTCCAAAACATGTAAAATTCATTTTCACAACCATTTTTCACCATATTTCGCCTACAACTTTACACATTATTTTCAGTCATTTATTTTCTTCTTTCTCACTTTCCATCGTTATTTTTTTACACAAACTCAGGGACTCTATCGCCAACGCCGGCACTGTACATATGTATAAAATTTTTATAATTGTGTTTAATTGCCATAGCCGTTTTGTATTTGCCGCAAGTTCCACAGGCGATCTAGACACCTGTGGATAGTCCGTAGGCTATGTTGCCTACAGTGATTCCATAGGCTATGTGATAGCCCATGGGGTTACCAGAGGCCCTTTTCTCAGTCACGTCGATTTAGAGCGTCATTATCTAGTCTTGAGTGGCACATAGATGCCAGGAGCTGTCCTAAGCTCAGCGGAATCCCTTTCAAGCAGTAATACATTACTGCCTAGTCTGCGCTTAGGTCAGTTTCGCTTAATTACCCATTTGTAAAAAAAAATATGCAGCTCTGGACCAGATGATTCTCGACTACTGAAGCGAGTTGGATATTTACTGATCATCTTTATCCAACTTCGTCATAGAGGTATTCATTTCCTTGTTTTCCGTGTTCTATTATTATACTGTATTCATAACAATTTTGTGCAATTTCGTATTATCAATGTATTACTCTAACCAAAAACAAAAAAATCATTCATGTTTATGTTTGCAACAGACTTTCAGGAAAGGTTCCAAGTTCCAGCTTTATCTCAGACGTTCAGAGCGTCTGAGACAAAGGACCAATTGGTCTCCCTCATAATGAGTGAAAAGTGCCAGTA